TCCTCATATCAGTGAGGTCATATGATACATGTCTTTCTCTGTTTGACTTATTTCACTCAACATAATACCCTCCAGTTCCATCCACGTCGTTGCAAATGGAGTTGTTGCCTGTTTTGAACATTTTATGTTCTCCCCCCGAATTTTAACATTCTAAGTGTGCTCAATACCTAAAATGGAGAGCCACGGCACTCACTGAATCAGAATGCTCGCCATTTCCCCAGGCACCTTGTACTCTCCTCCCTGAGTCTGGGCATGTTATCACCCGCCTGAAATGCCTCCACCCACCTGCACTGGTAACAGCTCCGCCCACCCTTGAAGTTCTGGTTCAGATGCCACTTTCTCCTGACACGTCTTAGGCCCCAAAGTGATCCTTCAATATCAGAGGCAAACATACTAATACAACCTTCCTGGAGAGATACATTAAGAGCCCTAACAAATGTTTGTGCCCTTTGACCCAGTAATTTCACTCCTGAGTATTAACTCCAAGGAAATGATCAGAAAGGCAGCCCAAGGTTCATGTACAAAAGTGTACATGACAGTGTGCTTCATAATGGTACAAATCAGAAACAGCTTAAATGCCCAAGTAGAGGGGAATGGTTGAATATATGGCAAAATCCCTATATTGGTGCAAAGGATGAAAATATATCAATTTAACATTTTGTTACTGATACCAGAAAATGCTAATATGAGACACAATCCCAAAAAATCATATACAAATCTATATAAAATTAGCCCCAAAATACATGGGTCTATAAAGAAATGCACCAAAATACTAGCAGTGTAAGGAACTTATGCAAGATTTGTATCTGTGCATATTGAAATAATTTATAAAAGTAAATCAACATTGGAGGTTCATAACAATAAAACTAAGAGATCCAGTTGGAGAAATATTGCTATACTTCGTTTCACCTTGTAGCGATAACGGGTGTGGCTTGTTTTCGCAACTGACTGTAAGCTCCTTTAGGACAGAGTTAACACCTGTGGGATCACCCCAGGCTGCCCCAGAGCAGCAGGCGTGGATTTGTACCCCTGGTCATGCCTCAGACTCATCTGCATCCTGGGAACGATAATGCCTCCCTCACTGGATTAAGGCGAGGGCTGAATGGAATCATGTATGGAAAGCACCTTTACAATATCTGAGGCCTGGCCAGTACTCAACACATGGAAGCTTCCAGTATTACATCAGACTGGTACATCTGATATTCTAGTTCCAAAAGCAGATAAAAGCAGACTCTTTTCCTTCCAAAACTCACTAAACAGGAGAAAAACAGCTAGAAGACTGCCTTCCACCTGCTCAAGACCGAGAAAGAAGAAGGGGGGGGTCTCGAAGTCAGGAGGAAGGAAAACAGGTCCGTTACCACCGTGTCAGGCGCAGTGTCAAAGCCGATATGTACAGTGGTGGCAGGGCCACTGTTCTTCCAGTGCTTTCAGACTGCTGCAGGGTGGGGACCCCTGGGCCCTCCCTGTTGGGGGTTGACAGGTGTCACCATGGTGCTCAGCTATGGACGAGCGAGACTCCTAACCTTCTGAGTCACACCGGACCTACACCCAAACCGCTACTTTCTTGGAACATCACATCATCTTGCTTATAATTAACGGAAGGTTGACCGCTTTCAGCTAATTTAGGGGACATTCTAATGATGTAAGGGAGACAATTTCACTTAAAACTAGATTATCTTGGAGGAAAAAAAAATAGGCTCCACAAAAAAACATTGCTCCAGGCAAGGCTGTTATTTTGAATATTTAACTATCAGTACGGCCCTGACACCAGCCAATCAGAATAGAGGCTTTACCCCATCACAGGGGAGAATGGCTATTATAAACCTAGAACGGCCACACCAGCGCGTGCAGGTTGAATATTAGCCTTCCTTCCAGGGAACCCCACCAATACACGCTCCCACAGTGCCTCCCTCGAGGAATACAGGCATACCTCAGAGATACTGCGGGCTTAGTGAGTACAGACTTAGCCTAATTCTTAAGAGCTCTAGGATTTTTGGTAGAATAAATGGGCATTGGCTTCAACTTTAAGTCACCAGCTGCATTAGCCCCTAACAAGAGAGTGAGCTTGTCCTTGGAAGCTTTGGAGCCAGGCATTGACTCGACTCTAGCTATGAAAGTCCTAGATGGCATCTTCTTCTGATATAAGACTGTTTTCTCTACATGGAAAAATCTGTTGTTGAGTGCGGCCACCTTCATTATCTTAGCAAGATCTTCTGGATAACTTGCTGCAGCTTCTACATCAACACTTGCTGCTTCACTGTTACGTTATGGAGATGGCTTCTTTCCTTGAACCTCACGACCCAACTTCTGCTAGCTTCAAACTCTGCAGCTTCCTCACCTCTCCCGGCCTTCACAGAATTAAAGAAAGTTGGGGCCTTGCTCCAGATCAGGCTTTAGCTTAAGGAAATGTTGTGGCTGGTTGGAGCTTCTATCTAGACCCCTAGAACTTTCTCCGTATCAGCAATGAGGCTGTTCTGCTTTCTTTATCATGGGTTCACTGGAGTAGCACTTTGAATTTCCTTCAAGAACTTTTCCTTTGCATTTACAACGGGGCTAACTGGCTCAAGAGGCCTAGCCTTCGGCCTCTTTCGGCTTTTGACGTGTCTTCCGCACTGTGCTTAATCATTTCTAGCTATTGATTTAAAATGAGAGATGTGCACTCGGCATCAGGGAAATCCAAATCAAAACCTCAGTGAGATACCACTCACACCAGTCAGAATGGCTAAAATTAACAAGTCAGGAAATGACAGATGTTGGCGAGGATGCGGAGAAAGGGGAACCCTCCTACACTGTTGGTGGGAATGGAAGCTGGTGCAGTCCCTCCGGAAAACAGTATGGAGCTTCCTCAAAAAGTTGAAAATAGAGCTACCCTACGACCCAGTAACTGCACTACTGGGTATTTACCCCAAAGATACAAATGTAGGGATCCGAAGGGGCACCTCTACCCCAATGTTTATAGCAGCAACGTCCACAATAGCCAAACTATGGAAAGAGCCTAGATGTCCATCAACAGATGAATGGATAAAGAAGATGTGGTATATACACACAATGGAATATTATGCAGCCATCAAAAAAAAAATGAAATCTTGCCATTTGCAACAACGTGGATGGAGCTAGAGGGTATTATGCTAAGTTAAATAAGTTAATCAGAGAAAGACAAGTATCATATGACCTCACTGATACTAGGACTTTGAGAAACAAGACAGAGGATCATAGGGGAAGGGAGAGAAAAATGAAACAAGACGAAACCAGAGAGGGAGACAAACCATAAGAGACTCTTAATCTTAGGAAACAAACTGAGGGTGGCTGGAGTGGTGGGGGGTGGGAAGGATGGGGTGGCTGGGTGATGGACACTGGAGAGGGTAGGTACTATGGTGAGTGCTGTGAATTGTGTAAGAATGATGAGTCACAGACCTGTACCCCTGAAACAACTAATACATTATATGTTAATTTAAAAAAATTTTTTTAAATAAAAAGATAAAATGAGAGATGCGCAACTCTTCCTTCCACTTGGGGGCCACTATAGGGTTATTAACTGGCCTGATATCAATATTGTTGTGTCTCAGGGAATAGGGAAGCCTGAGGAGAGGGAGAGAGATGGGGTGGAGCAGTC